TATTTGGGGGAAGGGAGGCCCCTGATAACATTAAAGGAATACAGAAGAGTCGTTATTCAAAAATACTCCACTTCACCATACATTATACCAATTATACATTCATTCTGACAAACAAGTTCCTCTTTCAGATACTTCCTGGTAGAGCTAAACCCATTGTTCATTCACATTTTTGTATTCTACTTTGGTTTACAGGATTCATATATAAGTATGTATGTCATCTCTTCACTAGATCACTGATTCTCAAAAGGTAAGAGTGACATTCTCCAGCAGCTGTACTTTGAAATGTGATGTTAAGTATTACAAATTTTCATTGGGTGGGACTGGGCAGACTCTATTGCTTTTGTTTAGCATACTTTCAGAAGTACAGAGTCACAAGATCTTAAATTAGAAATAAGAGGGGGCCAGAAATAACTCAGTTTCAGTGAATGAAAGAGAAGTAAACAGGTTTTTCTAAATGCCTTCCTATTCCACGCAGACCATTTCCACATAATAGTTTGTTTAATCTTGTACAGCCTCACAACACCTCTGTGAACAAAGTATTATTATGGACAAGGAAAACAGGATTCTGCCAACTGAATGGGACTCATTTTTTTCTGAAAAGAAATGAGAAAAATGACAAAAGGTATAGACCAACTTAAGTTAGACTACTTCCAAGTGCCTATTCTTCCCCAAATCCTTCACTTTCCAACCTTACTATAAATTTCACAAAAAGTTCCTCTGTGCTCTCCCCTAATTCTAAAGGGCTGTATATCAAACTCAATTTTTTTTTGTGAGCAGAGAGTGAAGAAAAGGTAATTTGCAAGGAATTTACATCTCTAGCATGACAACTGAGATATTTTGAAATGGATTACATAATTCTAAGCTAAAATGAACCTCCATAATAAAATATATTAAAATGCAACTTTCTACATGGAAAGTAGTTGGGGACCTTAATGCAGTTCTTCCAGAATAATTTTCCATGAAACTTCTAACAATAGACTTCAAAGAAATGTTTCAACGACTTGTTTGGCATTGTGCTGGTGACCCACACACTCACCCCAGCAGGGGGTGGTATTCTTGCAGTAAAATATACTACTGAGAATATTACTACCTACACAACTGAAGAATTTAACCTCTATGCCTCAGTGTTCTTATTTGTAAATGGGACCAGTACCTGTCTACCTAGCACAATTACCACAGGTATAAAAAATACTACATCCCACATGATTACCTGATTCCAAAGCCCTCTTGCACCAGTCACTGCTGCCTAGACCAGACTCCTTGCTTTTGCTGGACAGTGCAAAATCACATCTATACAAATTCTTATCAATTCTAAACTGCTTCGACACAAAATGCTAATATTGATGAAGATAATAGAAAACCCACAATACATCACCTACAAGTCATGTACAAACCTGTTTAAAAGAGGGCTATCTTGCCCTGGCTGGTGTAGCTCAGTGGATTGAGCGTGGGCCTGTGAACTAAAACGCTGCCGGTTCGATTCCCAGTCTAGGGCACATGCCCGCCTGGGTTGCAGGCCAGATCCCCAGTATGGGGGCATGTGAAAGACAACCACATACTGATGGTTCTCTCCCTCTCCCTCTCTCCCCCTTCCCCTCTCTAGAATTAAATAAAATCTTTAAAAAATAAATAAATAAAAGAGGACCATCCATTCAAATACTATTCAAGATGAGTCATTGTAGGAAAAACTTGAAATCTAAAATTCGTACATGAAACTTGTTTTCCTAAACTTAATTGAAATTCTAAAAATTCTACATGACCTATAACAACATGTGAAAATAGCTTTTCTAAGCTATTTAACTTTTCCTGAGTAACTTTTAAAAATTTATAACTTCCCCAGCTGGTGTGGCTCAGGAGATTGAGCATGGGCCTGTAAACCAATGGGGGTGTGCGAGAGACAGCCAATTGATGCTTCTCTCCCTCTCTTCCCCTCTCTCTAAAGTAAATCAATAAAATTTTTTAAAATTAAAAATTTTTATTTTATTTTTAAAAATATTTTATTTGTTTTTAGAAAGAGGGGAAGGAAAGGAGAAAGAGTAGGAGAAAAACATCAATGTGTGGTTGCCTCTCATGTGTCCCTTACTGGGGACCTGGCCTGCAACCCAGGCATGTGTCCTGACTGGGAATCGAACCAGCAACCCTTTGCTTCACAGGCCCATGCTCAATCCACTGAGCTACACCAGCCAGGGCTAAAAAAAATTTATAACTATCTGTTTCATCAGAAAATTATTTTTCTATTTTCTATGGAAAATGATAGTGTAAATTATAATATGAAGCACCCAAGTAAGTGCAGACCAAAATATAAAGGAATGTATTTATCCATGTGTCAAGCAGTTAAGAATATTTTTTTCTGAATTTTGTGATATATAAGGTATAGGTCAGCTTTAAATTTTGTTTACTGTGATTTACACTTTCATTCTAAGTAAATATTCATATTCACACTTAAAGTACATGCAAAATACCTGGCATTGTCTCATTAACATGGTGGTAACATAATTTTTGACAAGAAAAAATAAAATATCTTCATTTCAACCAGAAATACAACACACCAGCTTGAAAGTCTCCCTCCAGGAAATCTTCAGGGCCTAGCAGTTTATTCATTCTGAGCATTTGGATAGGGACAAGAGTCCAAAAAAAATAAAAATACAGCGGAGGAGACCATTCTTTAAAGGATGAGTCCATGTTTGAAGTCCGAGAAGTAGGCACTTTGAAGCATGGAAGATTGTGGAGGCAAATGTGCAGTAAAATCTTGGGAGAAGGTAATCGTTTAACTAACTTAGTAGAAGTGAACAAAGTTTGAGAAACGAACAAGGGGGGATGGGTTTTCCAGACGGAGGAAAAAAGGTAATTCGGTTTGCAAAACTACATAAAATGGACTAGAATGTGAAATCAAATTTTCGTTCTGTAAATAATATGTCGAGTTAGAACAACCTGCAGTATTTTGCTGCACAGTGGCTTCCTCAAAAGCATAAAGTAGTTCAAAAACTTAAGAATTTAATTATTTTGAATATAATTTAAATTTCCTTAAAACTTTCTAAATATTGCCAACCCAACAAAACTGGGTAGTTTAATCAACGAAATAGAACAGAAGATCCTAACACGCTGTCAAAAGACAATGGAAAAAAGTAAGCTAAGACCAAAAGTTCTAGAAATACATTACAAAGGTAGATTATCAATAGATAAACAACAGAAAAGTATTCACAAATGTTATAATTATTCTAAATCTCTAAAGTTTAATTTCAAAACCACTGTTCGGAGTTATCTGTTAAGATGGAAGTCTTATTAGGGCTCCAACACTTCCTAATATATATCACTCCCTTTTACCCTTCTGTTTTATGGCATCGGTCACATCCTGAGCTAAAAACTATTGAGTACTCCTGCTGTCAGTGCTCCTTTTAAAAACGATTTTTTTTAAACTTCCTAAGAATTAACTCTAAGTATTGCAAAAGGCACAGAAACGAGTAAAATCCCCTAGACAGTATGTACACAGCGTTTAAACAAGCCAAAACCCGGGACCCCGCGGTCGACTTCTCCTGGATTCCTTTTTGTTTTAATCTGCCTGAGGCGGCAGCAAAGGTTGGAAGGCGGAGACTGGAATCCCCTGCCAAGTCTCGGCTCTCGGTCACAGAGGCAGCGCCCGCAGCTTCAAGCCAAGTCCATCCCCCACCCTCTTTCGCCATTCATCGCGTTCCCCTCCCCTCCCCCCATCATGTGACCGCAGCCTGGACTCCAGGCTTGTTTTTCCCCTCCGCTCAGCCCCACCGCGCAGGCGCCTCGGAGTCCATTCATTCGAACTGCGTAACAATGAGCCCGGGGGCCCAGCGGCTCCTCGAGCTCCTTAACTCCACTCCAGCCCTTCTGGGACCCTGGGACCCGAATGAGGCAGCGCCTCACTTGGGTCCCCCATTCCCAGCCGGTGTCCCACCGCGGGCCAACCTCAGAACCGCCACCTACATGCGGTGAAAGTTGGAAGTCAAACTTTTCTGGACAGCCCAGGCGCCGCCTCCGTTCTTTCCCCGGCCCAGAACCACCTCGGTCACCCTACCAGGTCGGGCCACCCACGGGGAACGTGCTTCAGAACTTAGTCTTCAACTACTCCTCCCCGCCCCCGCCTGCGCCCCCCTAGTGCCGCGCTGCCGCGAAGCCCAGGTGAGCTTGCGCAGGACGCTGATCCAGTGGGCTCGCAGCGGGCAGCTACCGGACGGTTAACTGCCCCCTTCGTGAGGGAAGCCTTTCAAGGACAACGAGCGCGGACCCGGCCTCGCCGGGCTCTCTGTTCCCTTCGGGATCCTGCCCCTCCCTTCCCCACCCCCACCCCTTCCCGAACTAAAAGACAACAAACCCGCCGCGGAGTGCGGGCAGCATCGACACGGGCGGCCTTGGCCGCGACAACACCACCAGCAGCTCGCGTATCCCCTCTCCCACTGAGGCCGGCCTCCCTGGTGCGCATTACTGTTCCCGTCTCCGCTCTTACTCTTCAACCGAAACTTTCCTACTTACCAAACCCGTCGCCATTACCAAGTCTTTCAAGCTTCGTCTTCCCCCTCCCTCAACCCCCTGGGGGTTGAGCCTCCTGCCAGCTCTTTCACCCTCTTATTGGCCTGAAGAACTGCCATTCGATCTTTTTCCTTTCCCATTGGGTGATACCGAAGTCCACCTCGAGGGGCGGGCTTGTGTTGAGTTTTGTGTTGTATTTATTGGAGAAGACAGCATGTCAGTCATTAAAATAAGCGCTTCGGATTGGATTACTGCCGAGGCTGAAGGGACTCACGCCAAACTTTGCTCCCGAAATGGATTGTGGGTTCGTAGTCTCAGCCTTGCTTCTGCTTCTGGGAAGCCGCATGCCAGAGGAACCGGTTGGACTACATATCCCAGAGATGCGTAAACAGCGCAGTCTTGATAGTAAACAAGAGTCATAGGGACACGTGTATCAGCTCGTTTGTTTTGGTGTCTGGGACAAAAGGGAGGAGGCGGAGGAAGGGAGCATTTTAAAGGTTTGGCTTCTTCTCTTTCTCTGGACCGGTCCTAGCACTTGGAGCAGCCCCAGCCTCTCGCAGTACCCGTTCTTGGTCATAAACAGCCTTAGTGCCTGGCTACTCAAAGTTTGGCAGCAGGCCAAGGTATTGTTTAAGTGTTAGGGGAAGGAGATGACTACCAAAGCGGAAGCATTGTAGCCTCGCGAGGGTCCTAGTCACCCACAAATCTCGGTCCCAGTCATAATGGGGACAATAAAGGTGGTGTTGGGCTCCAGTGGGAAGAATTAGATTTTCTTAATTCTGAGCCTCCGCTCGTCACCCCGGGAGAGTAATTTAAGATTTGTTCGCCAACTCAATTCAAGTCACCCAACATTTGTTGCCGGTTGTTTGCGAGGCACTGATAACCTTGGGAATGGGCAGTTGAGAGGAAAGCTTAGGGTCTGGAGGTTTTACAAAGCTGTAAAAGGGGTGGACGATTACTATATGCTTTACAGTTGAAGGAAGTCAAAACGGTATTTTCTATTTTGACCAGCTTGCTCGTTGTTAACAGTAGTACTGAGGGTTATAATGTGACTTAAGCTGATTTAATCATTATCTAAGTTTCTTTGGTGAGTATTAGGCAACCATATTCCCCTTCCCAATGGCTTCCCATTGATAAAAAAATAAAAATAAAAAAAAAAGCCTTTCCACTTGTTTCCACCAAGAGTTCCTCCTTAAATTACTAATGCTCTGTCTGACTCACCAAAGGAGGATGGCTTCTCTGCTTTAGATTCCCTTCGTTTTAAACATGGCTGTCCATCACAGCACATCAGCCTGTAATTGGTATGTTTACCATTCACATTACAAAGACATTATTAAGCCTTTTCCCTTTGAACTTTTAGTGTTTAATCATTTAAGCTATGCTTTAGGTTTTTATATCTTTAGATCATTATATGTATGCTTAAAGTTTAAGAGGAGGAAAACTTACATTAGTAAGAAATCAGTAAAGTCAAATTTCTGAAAAGAGCCTAAAATCGGAGCACATTATTTCTTAAGTTAATTATATTTCTTGAATTTTTAGATCTGCATGAAAGCCACATAACAAATCAAGAAATCCAAAATTACCCTCATATGTTGAAACAAATTTTCAAATTCCTTTTAGGGATTCCCTGTTTAAATGCTTGAAGAGAATTATAAGATAGCCCTTCCTATCACAATAGAATGTGATCAAAGGTTTTACTTTCCAAATTCACAAATAGTAATCAAACATTTTTTGAAAAATAACTCAGAAAGCTCACAAAATGCCAGAATTTTTCCTTCAGGAAAAAGGACAGGATTTGACTATCCAAAAGGGGTTAATAGAGTAATCCAAGAAAAGAGCTTGAATGTGTCTATGCAATTCTGTATATCCTTATTTTCTTCCTTCTTTATTTTTTCATTTTGTCCCGAAATTGAAAACATAAATTCCAGTGTTAAATTTCTTGACAAAAGGAAAATCTGTGGAATTCACCTATCCATTTAAAACTAAAATCTGTGATATTTATGACTCACTTCTTCCAGGAAATTGAAAAGCTTCTCCTTGCCCAAAAAGTGAGCTTTCAAAAGCTTGAGTTACTCCTTTCCCTCTACAGGGCATAAACTGTGAGATCTGTTTTTGGCTAAACCTTACATTAAAAGTCTTTCCATTTGTAAGTTTTCTGAAAGCCTTGTGACAGAGTGAAATGTTTCCTCTCTCTGGCCTTCAGGCTAATATCTCCTGTTATAGATGTGTAATTAACTAGAGTTGCAATTTCAAGATTTTCAATCAGTGTGCCAGCAAGAATTTTTAAAACACTCGATACCTGAGAATCTAGTCAGGGACACTCATCTCTTTTCCATCACTGTGATTGAATCAAAACTATACCCTTTTATTTTTGGTCAGATTAGCAATAAACACAGGATCCAGCACAAATAAAGCCCCCTTTTTATTACAAAATCTTTTATTGCATAATCAGAAGCATGTAATTCTCTAACAATATCACATTCAGGCACACTGTATGACATTTTAGGTGAATGTTCAAATTAAAACTATAAATTATTATACCCATATTATTACCCTACCACCCACACTCAAGCAGGCATTACTTCTGCTGGACCCTGTATATTTTTTGCTGTGTCACAGAATTTTCATAATTAGTTTATGTGTGCCGTGAGATGAAAAAGGTTGAAAATTGCTGAAGTAGAGGAATTCTGCTTGAGATTTGAGGATGCCTTCTGTCAGCACAGGTGGGGAAATATGCATAAAATAATGACTCAAGAACTGGATGCAGATCAGAGAGGGTCAAAGGACCCCCCAGGAATTCAGGGAGTTAGAAATTGCCCACTTTTCTTTGGCTCCTTTTCCCAGCCTGGCTATCTATAGTCTCCACCCACCTGTTTGCCCTACCCATCCTGTCTCCCCTTGATATAAGAACCCTGAATTTTGAGCTTTCTTAAGATGGCTTTGTGTATTCTTCTATCTTCTTGAACTTTCTTACTCCATCTCTGATGTATTGAATATTGGCCCTTCTTTCAAAGCATCAAGCCCACAAACCTTATACTGCTAACAGTCTTAGTGCAGGTATTCTTATTGGTAAATACTGTAATGGGAAAAATAATTTTAACCTCAGATCAAGGTATTGTATCAGTCTAAGCAATAAATTATCTTTGAATAGCACTAAAAAGTTGTTTCTATTGATTCAATCAAAATTTCTTTAGTTTCTAATATTTTAAAAATATTTTTATTTGTTTACATTTAGAGAGCAGGGAGTGAAAAAGAGAGGAAGGGAAGCACTGCTGTGTGAGAAATATATGGATCGGTTGCTTCTCACATGCCCCGAACTGGGGACCTGGCCTGCAACCCAGGCATGTGCCCTGACTGGGAGTTGAACCAGCAGCAGCAACCTTTAAGTTCACAGGTTGGCCGGCACTGGCTGCAGTTTATAATATTTGTTGACCATTTTGCTAATTGATAAGGATGCAAAGATTAAATTTTTTACATACTTTAATTTTTGTCCAAGTCATAAAATTGTAGTAGTTCACTCACAACTGATTAAATATCAGTATTAGAATTCTCTACAATTAGTCCTATCTTCTGACTTTCCTGAAAAACTAAATGACCACATTTGTACCTTACATATATTTAACAGAAACATCATATTAAGCCCTGGCCAGGTGGTTTAGTTGGTTGTAGCATCTTCCCAAACACCAAAAGTTTGCAAATTCAATTCCTGCAACCTAGATTGCAGTTTCCTTCCCCTTCAGGGCATACATGGGAGGCAACCAACCAATGTTTGACTCTCAGATCCATGTTTCTCCTTTCCTCTCTTTCTGAAAATTAATGAACATATCCTTGGGTGAGAAACAACAGCATTAATTCCTGGGTGACTATTACCAAACCAGCCAACTGGTAAGCCAGAACAAAGATCAAAGAACAAAAACTAGTAAGATCTTGGAAATCTTTACATGTATAAATTCTATTTTTTCACTAAGACAAATATAACTGTAATTACTTTTTTCATAGAAGTTTTTTTATTTTTTATTGCATATTATATTCAGGTAGATGTACAGCAGAGTGGCCAATCATACATTTCACCAAGTGCTCCCCCTGATATTTCTAGTACCCACCTGGCACCATAGTTATTACAATATTATTGACTGTATCCCTTATGCTCTCTTCCTGCTATTTTGTGACTACCAATTTATACTTCTTAATCCCTTCATCTTTTTCACCCAGTCCCTCAAACCCCTTCCCCTTTGATAACTATAGGTCTGTTCTCTGTATATATGAGTCTGTTTCGATTGTTTGTTCATTTATTTTGATCTTTATATTCCACACATAAGTGAAATCCTATGGTATTTGTCTTTCTCTGACTTATGTCACTTAACATAATACATTCTAGGTCCATCCACACTGTTTCAAATGGTGAGATTTCATTCTTTTTTTATAGCCGAGTAATATTTCATTGTCTGTAATTACCACAGCTTTTTCAGATATAACTAACTTTTATATGTTCTTCAGACATTTGCATGATAAAACTGGCAAGAAAAAATCAGTTTTGTTAAATAACACCTACTCTTGGTTAGTGTAAGTACAATATCTGTGCACACGTTACACACAAACTATGGCCAAAATATGTCGAGAAGTCATCTAAAATCAAGGTCTTTCCAATGATAAAATTCTGTTATCAAAAAGAAATGAAGTCTTAATTTAAAGATGGTAAAAAAATTGATAAATTCTATTGTGTGTAATTAATACATTTCCCTTGATTCCATCACATTTGGCAGGTCAGTGACTGCTTTGCTAGACTTAGAAGTTCAAGCATGGGGTATTACGTAAATATTGAGAATATTGCTGTTCAAATTCTCAAAAGGTAAGCAAATTAAATATTAAAATTGGGAAATGGTACACATGTATGGTCTGAAAAGTTAAGTTGTCGAACTTTTCAGATAGCTTCATCTTGGTAGATTTAAACTCTCAAAAATATCCTTTCCTGTTTTACTAACTATACTTTAAAAACTCAACTTGTAATGTCTAGGAGATGAGTGCCATTTTAGAACTGAGTAATACATGTCTCTGGTGCTTATAATTATTAATGCCACTAAAAGTTAAGATTTGACTCTCGTGACCATAAAGCATCTTTTTGTCTGTGCAATCAATAAGTATATGCTTGCTGGAAAAAAAAAAGTTGGGGAAAATAAGTAACAATAATTTTCTTTTTTTTAATTTAATTTATTTATCTTTAGAAGGGAAGGGGAGGGAAGGAGAGAAGGAGAAATATCAATGTATGGTTGCGTCTGGTGCATCCCCTGCTGGGAACTGGCTCCTGCTGGGAGCTGGCCTGCATCCCAGGCATGTGCCCTGACAGGGAATCGATCTGTGATCTTTTGGTTTGCAGGCCCGTGCTCAATCCACTGAGCTACACTAGCCATGGCTAAATTTTCTTACTAATGTATAGCGTGTATTGTGTCGTGCTCTATGTCATATGCACTTTTGAACATTAACTCTGTTAAACAGCTTCCGTGGGCTTTAAGTCTCACCTGTTCTATATATTTATCACTATTATTTGAGAACAGGTCTCATCTTTTAGCTACATTATGTATAATTAGCACTATTGTCATTCATTTTCTCTCCTCCTGGTATAAAGGGTTTTTATCTGCTCAAATGACTTCTCAAAGGCAAATGATATTTGTCTAATACACTTCAGTTCTTCAAGAGTTCATATAATAGCATATAATAATGCACTATAGCAGTGATTTTCAACTGTGTTCATCTCATGGCACACATAAACTAATCACTAAAATTCAGCAGTACACCAAAAGATACTTTGCCAGTCTGACCAAAAAATAGGTATAATTTTGGTTGATTCACAAAAAAATAATAATAGTATTTATCTACCCCTTTTGCTTTAAAGGGACATTTTAGAAAAACAGGAACTGCCCTGGCTGAGTATCTCAGTTGCTTAGAGCATAGCCCCAGTAGGCCAAGGTTGCGGTTTCATTTGCTGGTTGGGGCATGTATCAAGCACAAATAAGTGGAACAACAAATCATTTCTTCTCTCTCCCACCTCTTTAAAAAAATATAAATAAATAAGGAAATAAACAGGTACCTATATTTATATATAAGGATTTCTGTTACCAACAATTAACCAGTCAGACACAAACTTGTTAAGCGATGTCACCAATAAGATGCAACTCTATTATATGACCCATATGTTTATGTTTCAACACAGGGCATTCACACTGGATGGCAGTTGTTGACTGGAGTCATTTTTTTTTTATTTGACAATGTAAGGGAAAAGAGGTCAGTGTCCCAGACTAAATAATCAGGTATTCCATGTTTTAAAAATTATTGTAGCACACAGGTTGAAAATCACTGCACTATAGTAATAAAAAGGCTGAGGATATTTGAGTTCAGCTTTAAGGAGCAATTATGAGAAAAAGATTTGCCAAAAATATCTTTATAGTGAGCACCTCTCCTAAAATAATTAAAATATTATTTGGCTTTCAAAAGTGTCATTCACTTCCATTTCAAGAATATAATCATCAAGTAAAGGGAAGTACAGTTGTATTAAGTGTCAGCCTTTGGCCTAAAGAGGCAGTGGCATTGTAGGGATGCGTGTTCATTCTCTTGTTCCTCAGCAGGATCCAGGTAGGTTTTAGTTCAGACAAAGATAGAAAATCAGCAGTTGGAAGCAATTTTATCCAATATTTTGACTGGTCATATTTATTGCTCACAAGCTCATTCAGGGGTTCTACTTTGTAAACATTTTTTAATGTTCAATAGAAAACATTTAGTTTCACCTCTGGGTTAACCAGTGAAGAGCCCAGCATCTTGTCATTTCAGAGTTCATGCCCTGCTTACACTAAACTTTCCCCTGCACCTGGAAAAAAGTTTTCTGTTTTTCCATTAAGAGTAAAAGATATTCATTAGTACAGTGAATGTTACAACTGTTACATTTCATGTATATTTTGCAGTATATATACACAAACATATATATGTATATATACACATATAAAAAATACTTGTTAAAATTTGGTAAAATGTGAAGACCAAGGCTATGCTTAAGTCAAAATCTAGCAAAACCACCTAATAGGTGGCATTTCATTTTTATTGTATAGAAAATTACTTCCATATCAAACATCACATGCTTCTTTAGGATTTCCTAGGCAATATTGGATTTACAAACAGCATAAAAAGGGACAGAGTGATGCAGATCTGTGGGTCAAATAAAAAGGTTTTCCTCTCAAAATACTCTGTCTGCTTTGGAAACTTTCTATAAATTTCTCTATACACTAGGCCCAATAACATCACTATTAGGAAACTATATGAAGCCAAGAATTGCATAAGGAACCAAGAGATTTTAATTGCCCATGCGTTCTGTCATGGACTCACAAAATAATATGATTTTGGTGAGGTCAATCCATTATAGAACTGAATTAATTTAAGCTCTCATAGCTATTGTTGGGCACACAAGTCCCCTGGAAATACCTGGTGTACTTTGTTGCTTATATTTGCATAATTATACTTCAAATTTTTAAAAAATACTGGTGAAAAGTAATAACTATATAGTTCAGGTGGGCAACCAGTTTTCCTGCCTTTAAAAGTGCCCTGGAGCAGGTAAGGTTTTGCAATTCTTTTTTTAAAAATATATTTTATTGATTATGCTGTTATACTTGTCCCATTTTCTTTCTCTCCTATAATCCCCTCCGCCTTCACCACCCCTCCCACCAGCATTCCTCCACCTTAGTTCCTGTCCATGGGCTGTACATATAAGATCTTTGGCTTCTCCATTTCCCATACTATTCTTAACCACCCCGTCTATTTTGTACCTACCATTCATGCTACTTATTCCCCTATCTTCCCCCGATTCTCCTCCCTCCCCTGCCCCGCTGATAACCTTCCATGTGATCTCCATTTCTGTGATTCTGTTCCTGTTATAGTTGTTTACTTATTTTTTTTAGGTCCTGTACTTGATTATTGTTTGTTTTCATTTTACTGTTCATATTTTTTAACATCTTCCTTTTCTTAGATAAGCCCCTTTAACATTTCATATAATAAGTGCTTGGTGATGATGCACTCCTTTAACTCGACCTTATCTGGGAAGCACTTTATCTGCCCTACAATTCTAAATGCTAGCTTTGCTGGATAGAGTAATCTTGAATGTAGGTCCTTGCCTTTCATGACTTCGAATACTTCTTTCCAGCCCCTTCTTTCCTGTAAGGTCTCTTTTGAGAAATCAGCTGACAGTCTGATGGGAACTCCTTTGTAGGTAATTGTCTCCTTTTCTCTTACTGCTTTTAAGATTCTCTCCTTCTCTTTAATCTCAGGTAATGTAATTATGATGTGCCTTGGTATATGCTTCCTTGGGTCCAACTCTTTGGGGACTGTATGGGCTTCTGGACTTCCTAGAAGTCTGTTTCCTTTGCCAGATTGGGGAAGTTCTCCATTATTTTCTCAAATAAGCTTTCAATTTCTTGCTCTTGCTCTTCCTCTGGCACCCCCATGATTCAGATTTTGTAGTGTTTCAAGTTGTCCCAGAGGTTCGTCAGCCTCTCATTTTTTTGAATATTTGTTTCTTCATTCTGTTCTGATTGAATGTTTATTTCTTCCTTCTGTTCCAAATCATTGAGTCCCAGTTTCCTTCCCTTTACTATTGGTTCCCTGTGTATTTTCCTTTATTTCACTTTCTAGAGCCTTCACTTCTTCCTGTTTTGCAACCACACTGAACCATTTCTGTGAGCATCCCGATTACGTTTTGAACTCTGCATCTGATAGGCTGGCTATCTCTTCATCGCTTAGCTCTATTTTTGGAGCTTTGATCTGTTCTTTCATTTAGGCCATATTTTTTTCTTGGAGCACCTGTTACGTAATAAGGGGCAGAGCCTTAGGTATTGGCTGGGGCAGGGCAAGACAGCCCACATCACTGCGTTGTGGTGCTGTGTATGGGCAAGGGGTCAGAGAGGGAACGATGTTGCTTGCTGGGCTCTCCGCTGTTGTTCAGTCACTTCTCCCCTTACCCCTAAGCAAACTGGGCCCTTCCGATGCTGATACCCAGGTGGGTGGGTTTGTGTACGTTCTAGGACCCTGTGGATCTCTCCATGGAACTCTCCTGTGAGGCTGGGAGTTTCTCCCATGCCTCAACCCCTACAGGTTTTTAGTTATAGGTTTTGAGGCTTTATTTCCCCATGCTGGAACCCTGGGTTGCGTGGTCTGTTTCACCCCCCAGTTGTTTCTTCTGATTTATCCAAATGCAAATGTGGGACCACCCAGTCTGCCAGCTGCCCATCTCCTCCCCTCTTACTAGTCTGAATGAATGTTTCTTCTTCAACTCCCCGGTTGTCAGACTTGTGTACAGTTCAATTTTCTGGCAGTTCTGGTTATTTTTTGTTTTTAGATTGGTTGTTGTCCTTCTTTTGGTTGTATGAGGAGGCCAAGTGTATCTACCTATGCCTCCATCTTCACCAGATATCCTATTAGGTTGTCTCAATTCTCATTCCAGCTTCTTTTTGTCAAAATCTTGATATTCATAATCAAGCTGTACCATACACTATTTTTTATTTTAGAAGCCAGCATTCATTATAATTGTTTCTTCCTTAAGTGTTAACATAATTAGATATTAGAATCCCATCAGTTATTTAAGAAAGCCTTGGCTTACCCAGATGTATTACTTAGGCTTACACATTATTAATTTTCTTTAAGAATGACAAAGCTCATGTTACGACAAATCCTTGTCATAAACATAACATTTCTTGAGAAAAGTAAGAAAAATACATTATTATTTTAGAAGATGCTTTATAAAGGAAAAGGACTCAGCACTTAATCTTACACTCTTCTATGAAATCCAGAGTCCCTTGTTTCATGCCCTGTATCTTAGTTGCAGCAGCAGCATTTTTGAGCACAGTAAATAGTCTGCTGGCCACCGTTTTGTAACAGCAGGTTAACAACAAACCAGATATATTCACCAACTTGTGTCACAGTATTTATGTTAAACTATATGCACCAAGCCCTAGTTCATATAGATCTGCAGGAAGCACATATACACTCTTATATTTATTTAAAATAAATATGGGGAAGAACTTTTGTGTTAAAAAATGTTCTCCGATAAGAATTCTTAGCTACATATAATACATCCTTGAATGAAACTTCAACAGACAACTTCCAAATACTAGTAAGGATTCTTGATTAGTGATTAAATAACATCCACATGTAAAACTAGAGGTGTTTTAGATACTTTAAGACATGAATTTCTTAGCCAGATTTATTTGGTTATTCTAACATAACATACTCATATAAACATGCCAGAATCATATGACTAATAGTGAAGATTTTTTAAATTCTGCTGCCATTCAGAACCACGCTTTCATGCTCCATTAGGCCCACATGTGCTGGACCTCTGCCATGCCCTCCACATGGTGCAGTATGCACTCTGGAAGTCATTAAAAAACAAGTGAACAAAAAACCCTCGATTAAACATAATTCACATAGTTTATTATAAAAGTGTGCTTCATTATAAGGAAAATTTAAATATAACCAACAATAATGTAACCAGCATTTACAGCTTCCGAGTTCTTTATTAAACAGGCATTTTTGCTATTCCATGAATAGTTCATCAGCTTATGCAACAAAATAGGTAATCTGAAAAAGTGAATAAAGAATACAGAATGATGAACCAGAAATCTGGGGTTCTGTTTTTTTTAAATTTATTAACATGGCTTTTAAAATAAAATTAAATAGAAAACAAGTCATTTTCATATAGTAAGCAGCTCTCTTCCTACAAGAAAGTTTACAAAATTGTTAAACAGTGTTCTAAAATGTGGCTGAAGTTACACTTTACATACTTTAACTTCTTATATATACATTATCTGGTTAACATATTTTAACCACATTTTAATTACACAAGTAAGACCAAAACCATTCTCTAAGAAGAGCACACTAGCCACAGAATAGTTTTACCCATGTATGTATTTCTTTAAAACATTTCCTAAAATGGAATTGCTCACCGAAAAGTAAACTGGTTAGAATTAATCTCTCCAGACATTGGATTATACATAGGTTAGAAATGTAAGGCTATATTGCTTTGGCTGAATAATTCATCTTATGTAGCCAATAATAAGTTATCAATTATCAATGAAAATCTATTCTGGTTGAGGTCATTCTTTGAGTTTACATTAAAGCAAATGGTAAGGCCAAATGGTATGTTCAGAGTGGGCAGAAATTCCTTTTATCTTTGCGTATGATTTTGCTTATATTTATTTTTACCATCCTGGAGGAACCCCATGGGAGCAGATATCTGAAAGAATCATGATATGGATACAAGTGAAGAACAAAAAAATATCTTGTGGGCATGTTGATAAGGACCCCATATTATTTTTGGTGTGGATTTTTTGGTAATATATATAAAATCTTAGACTTTTAGATGACAACAAGTTAATTTAAATTAAAGCTTTAAAAAAACTTTGTGACATTAAATGTCTAACTCACTTTTTTAAAGATAAAGAATAGGGAACTGTAATTGAAAAAAGGAAGCAGAGATATATGCTTTATGAGGAAAAGATGTTAATGATCTCTCATCTAAAAGAGACTCTCACCTATTACAACTAAATCGCCTGTCCTAAAACTACTGGTTACTGACATTATGCCAAAGAAGTCAAAATGTACTTTATTGCAAAAATATAAAAGGTTCTTGAATTGCATATGATGTTTTATACCATTTCACCAATAGGCCAAAGCCAGCACATAACTTATCAAGGCAGAAAAACTTTAAAACAAAAATGATTCAAATTGTACTTACTATATATACAATGAGTTGTAAGAGAATGTGAAATCATGCTGTATAGCATGATTCATTGCCAAGTTCCTTCTTACATGGGCATACTCACTGACGTATCAATCTGAATAAGTCAAAACAAACACAAATAGCCTATGATAACATCCTTTAATTATCTTCTTAGACACAGATACTTTCAGTATATTACAATCATCTGAATAAACCTTTCAATTTTGTGGAACACAAAATCAATTTATCAGTATGTTGATATTTTTATGATCTACTCTTTACAAAGTGATGTTAAAGCCTATTGCCTATCACTACTGTTTACTGATACATTGTAAATGTAAAAAAAAAAAAAGGAAAAAACAGGAAATCACAGAAAATGCTTGGCATCTACACAAACACATTCTCAGTGGACTAACCACTACTGTGTAATTTTGTTACTACAGGTCTTGCTCCATACTTTTGCTTCATGCAGTAGGTTCAACAATATCCATGTTTGTTCCAAACAGGGCAACTAATTGTTCTTCATAGGTGGTGATGTTCCTTTTCATAATCTCCATGCAAGGTCCCAAAAGCCTTTCAAATGCTTGCACATCCATGGCTAAAAGAAAAGGGGAGGGGTGGAAAATAAAAGTAAAATGAACATCCTTTGAAAATCTGTAGAATTTCTGAGTAATTCGTAATGTCATTCTGCATATATCAGTAATTCAATGGTATTTTTAGATAAATATACAAGAAAAAGGCATAATGATAAAATTGTTCCACTTCAAAGTAGCCAGGGTTCCTTGGCAACATGATGCGCAATGCAAGGCTGGGGTGCGGTTCCTGATACAGACTGAGAAAAGAATGAGGGGCTGTCATTGGCAAGGCCTTGAAATTCAAAAACATTAGCTTTTATGCCATCATCTGAGTAGATACAAACTCAAAGATGATGAAGTGACTTCTGTTTTTCCTCAGGGTTTATAATGCCATGTTTTAAGACTAAATGTTACCTTTTATAATTTTTACTCTTACAGTATCATAGTCGCATTGAAATAGCCACAATAATGCTTTATCCACTTCTATAACTGTATATGTCACTTTGCTTGCCTATCTCATGCACTCTTAAAAACTAAATTTATAATATGCACATGGAAAATATGATCACACTCTGTACCCTAGAACTACAATTTAAAATACATGCTTTTGCCTTTTAAGGCAGCAAAGGTAAAAAAAAGGCAGTGTTTAGAGCAAATGGGCATTCTTGCACTGCTGGTAGCATGTAAATCGGTACAAGTAAAAGTGACCTGACAATATACAGCAAAAGCTATAAAAGGGAAACCCACTTCTAAAAAAACCATTTCTAAGGGAAACTACTACATTTGGAAAAAGCAGCACCCCCATCAAAATGGAGCCAAAATCCTCAAAACATTTACCAGTGGGGGATCATTAAATAATGTGCATATTTCCCTAACAGAATGTTACAATTTGATGCAGTAAAATGAGAAAATGCCTAAACTATAAATGAAAAAAGCATTTAACAAAATTGTTTAAAACAGAAAAATCATGCAAGTAGAAGATGAAAAGGAACTATAACAGGATGTGGAATGGAAAGTCACTGGGTGGTGGTGGTGTGGGTGCCTCTTAGTTTTTCCTACCTTTTCTGTATTTCTCAAATTTTCTTTAATGTGAATATAAGTATAGAAAAAATATTGGGCTTTCATTCATATCACCTTTACTCTTACTGTTTACTATTTCTACTCAGGGAAATTCCCTGCCAGTTTCTGTCTTCTGTTTTATCCAAGTGTAACAATTGATTAACATTATACTTGAAAACATTTTAAAAAGCGACTTCTCCATAAGTTAATTCTGAGAATAATAGCAAATCTTAAGAATATGGAAGCTGAGTTTCTTCTACTAAACGGTAGATGAGGAAAATAGAGTGGCTAATTATGGCTGAATAATTTTTTTAAGAAAATGTCATCTATGTTGACACCACCTGAATTATATTTTTCATTTTTAAAGCAAGTTGTTGGTCGTATTTCAAATCTTGCAGCTGAAGATGGCACTTCTGCCAAGCTACTACACAGTTTAAAAAGGTAATTAAACAGCTAAACAATAAAGAAAATTTTACTGTGCTGACAACCTTAACCTATGTTCCCAGTACTAAGTATTCCCACAGACATTCCAACTTTCTCCACAGAGCTTAATTCACTCTATAAAAATATTGTTTTAGCCTTTTTGAGGAACATACTACATGTTTATTTGAAAAATCGGATATAAAATGTACCCAGAATTATTATAATGTTATTTCAAGCATATTAAAAAAACCACTATATATGTATGTGAAACTTTTAACAACAAAAAAACACACAAAAAACAAAAACAAAACTGGCTTCCACAAACTGATTTTATAATGCAGTGCTACCCTTGTTATGTTTTGTGGGGACCATAAAACCTATGAATCCAGTAAGTAAATCTGTACCACATAGACACATAAAATACAGACATAAAGATGTCAGTCAGGAGGAGTACGCCCACCACTGTGCATCCTACCTAAACATTTGACAGTCCCGATGGCGTGTGCAGAGGCTGCTCGAGGTTTGTTAGTTACCAGCGCAAGTTCTCCAAAGTACTGTCCCCGAGAGCACCGAGCGATTTCCACGGCACCATTCTCTTCCACTTCTGATTTACTCTGACAAGGTCATTAAAAGCATCAACTTTTACTCAGCATGTTGGAAAAACAAAAGTTAATCTTAGTCTAAACATCACAAAGAAAATTTATTATGTTCCTAGCTAGTATGTGAATTTTTGAGAATTCACACTTACTTTCCTTTTCATAGTAATTTTCACTTCTCCAGATTCTACAATGAAGAAAGAATCAGCCAAATCTCCCTATTAGAATAAAACAGAAACAAAGGATGAAAATGCAGATTTAGTTGACAAAAATCCTATTGCCTATCAAAACCCTGAAGTCAGTCCAACTCCAGTGTACAGATGATTTGCCTGAAAAGTAACACCCCACAGTTCCTGTCTCTCACTTTGTAACAGAAGTTACAGTCAGCAATTAGGTAGTAATGATTTCATTTGTAACATCATTTGAATATACTCTCTACCACAGCATTTTTAAGTAAAAAAAAAATATATGGCAAATAACACCGGGGTAAGAATTCCAGATGTTAGAACACCCAGACTTATTCAAAAACTGTAGATTTGGATCCTGATGTTTTGACTGCAGTTAGCTAGAGACCCAACTCTGAGATGCCTGTTAAGTGACAATCCACCTCAAGGCCTCGGAAAAAAACCGGAAAGAAAAGTGTTGGGTGAAAAGGATGAAGAGATTAAGCAAAATAAAAATAAAACCCGGGGGGGGGGGGGGGGGGGGGAGTTGAGGTGTTGCTATTTCTAACTGCATATCCATTTTTTTCTCAGTGATGTTTCTGAATAAACTCCACCTTCCAACGATGCCTTCTAAATTAAATAGTATAAACAGAAGACAGCAGATACTGACTCTACTGGGCCTCTCCAAGTAATCTGGAAAAGAAACTTAGGTACTCAAAAACCCTTTAGTACAATTCAAGAACTACAGTACCAATTTATGTCACAAAATAAATGTTGAGATTTATAATAATATAAATGTGTGTGTTTATGAATGCTTAAAAAACACCTCAAAATATCCTTAATAAACTCCAAGTATAGTATACATGTGTCCTTTCCCTTATTTTTACATCAAGTTTTCATAAGAGGTTCACTTTCAAATTTGAATCATAGTAGGTCCATCAACTGCTGTGTAATTTAGTTTTCAAAACATGCTTTAAGTGCATATAAACGGGTGAAATCTGAGTAAGGTCTGCAGATCGGGCCAATGTCATTTCCTAGTTTTGAGACTGTGCTCTAATGATACAAGATGCCCTGGGGAAACTAGGTGAAGAGTGCATGGGACTTCTCTGTTCTATTTTCGCAACTTCCTGTGAAGCTATAATTATTTCAAAATAAAAAGCTGAAACAATCATTTCAAAAGTACTCTAGACTTATCAATTTATATAACAGAATCTTAGCCTTGTTTTCTAATTTGATTCCACTTCTTCCCAATCCTTCACTGCTCTAATCTGTATGTCTAGGGGATGGGGAGTAGGGAGGGGACAGAGATGGACTTATTTACCTTCTAAAACAATTATTTCCTCAGTCTCACAGACCTTGAATCTTGTTTCACATACATCCAAAGAAGAGAGATTTTAGATAAATAGTACAATATAGTACATTATGATAAAAATTACAGAATCTATTAAAAAATCTATAAATAATTTGTTTAATACTTCAAAAATATAACTAGGAAATAAGGTGCTATCATCTGTGTGCTCAATCTATGAACTTCAATTATCTCATAAGTCCTACTCCTCACAAGCCATATTCTAACCAAGGTATATATTACTACTGGCTCAAAGTGTGATTTTTAGATAAGATTAATGGTTAAATAGCATGTTGGCCCTCGTTTAGTATCTGGAAGCCAACACAGTATATGGTGCAACATGTTCCATTTTTGGTTAATTTTATGAGGGAGCAGCCTTCGTGAATGACATCGTGAATTGACTGTACAAAAGTCTAATATCTTCCAGTATACCTTCTGAGTCCTCATTAATCTCATAGAACATTCACCTGTAATTCTCCTCTTATAAATGGCATCTTATTCTTTATATATATATCATGTACAAAGACAAAATTAAGCAGAAGTCTACTTGATGACAATACATATTCATTAGGAGATAATTATATAAATAAAAATATTCAAAGCTTAATGGCTGTAAATTAAACTATTTTAAATAGGTCTCTTGGTAAAAGTAATATTTAATCCATAAATACGTGCTAATTATAGACATAAAAAATCCATCAAAACACAATTTTTAAGAAACTTTTGGAATATAACTCTAAATTAAATTACATAAAAAGGATTATACCTGAGCAATGATTTGTTCTCCATCATTATATACTTTGGTGCCTATCACATCTACCACTTTTAGGCGTTCAGAAACCTACAAAGAAAAAAATAACAAAGATTAATTGGGTGGTAATATCTATTTCAGAGATTTAAAAATTAGTAACCTATAAGCCAAACAAGCCAAGAAGTATGTGGGTTTGTATGTGTTACATTAATTAACCAACAGCATTTTAAAGTAAACGTCTCAAAAAAATTTGAATTTCCAGCTTCTCTTGAAAAATCAACAGTACATAGGCCATATTTCCACATGGCAAATAACTATAGTGGAATAACAACTGTTTCTTTAGATGGAGCACATATTCTCCAGTTTACCAAAATCCTGTCCTGGCTTGGTTCTTCTTTATGTAACTTGCCTAGATCTCAAGGCATTTGGATTTCCAACCCCTGATCTATTTAAATTTAAAGACATATGCTGCTAGAGATAGCTGCCTAATTTGCATTCTGTAATGTGGCCAAAATTTTTGCCAGGCATATACTAACAATACAACAAAGGTACTTCTGTAGATGAGTCAGTGCTAACCCCAAAGACTCTGGCCCAGATGCTGAGAGGATCTTAGCTGCCAGCCACTAAGACAGGGAAGAGGGGTGGAGTAGATTTAGGATGTGAGGTTTGAGATGTCTGTTTAGTGTCTGAGAGGAAATGTTAAATATGCAGTTAAATAATTATGAGTCTGGCATTCTAGGGAGGGACCTTATCCTTTATGTCAATTTTAAAAGGCATTAACACAGTGTTTAAAGACAGGAAATTTGACAAGTTCACCAAGTGAATAAGAGTAACCTAAAAAAGGAAAAGACACAAGAATGCCAATTTAAGAGAAAACGAAAAGAGGAATAAACAGCAAAGATGACTGAGAAGGAAAGGCCAGAGAGGAATTTTTTTTTTTTTTGGTAACTAGATGGGTTAATTTTTTGGTGAGGGGGACAATGTTGTTCTGTTGTTTCTTTTCCCTGGTATATTTTATAAGGAAATAGGTATTTGTTATATTGAGTTAATATCCATTTCTATATTTAAATAATGTCTCCCTAGAGAGGTATAACTAGTGGCTCCTGATGACATTGCATGCTTATTTCAAATCTCTTAGAAAAGGACCACATAAAACTGCTAGAGATACTCACAGGAACCTATTGCTTATAAACAGTAAAATAAATGCAGTTTTAGGTAGTAAAAAATACTTAACTATACAAGCACCATAACTAATCTTTCAATGAAAATGTGGATAGATTTCTATTCAAATAAACTCTTGTATATAAGTAAATATTCCTAACAAAACAGAAGTTTTCAAAGCAAAATATAAATATATACTTACTTCCAAAGATTTAAGAAATGGCAGTGACTCGATAAAACTTTCATACATTTTTCTCTTTTTGGCATTATTTTTTACAATTATTCTCCTGAAGGTTACCCTGTCCTAAGGCAGAATATCAAATACAAAGAGAGTTAAAAGATAAATTTTCTGAGGAAAAAGTTTTAAGAAAGAGTTTCATTCCCTACAAGAAACAAATGATAACTGAAGATTTTGAAATAAAAGAATATTATACATTTAATGTAACATTTAAGATTTTTATTCAAGCATAAAATACAGAACCATATAAAATAGTATTTTACATTTTTTAAAGAAAGCATCAGTTTACTTTTATTCAGAACAGAGATCGACTACCATGTAATTAAGCTAAACCCACAAGGTGGCACTATCGCTCCATTTTAAAAACTAGATACCAGCAACGTATTTTTTTCTTGCTTCAGCTTTCAGACGTAATTGACTAATAACATGGAGTAAGTTTAAAGTAAACATGTTGATTTGATAATTTATACAATGTGAAGTGACTCCACAGTAGAGTTTGTTAAAGCCTCTATCACCTAATTGACATTTCTTTTATGGTGAGAATATTTAAAATTTACTTTAGCAGCTTTCAAGTATATAATGCAATATTGTCAACTGTAATAATCGCCATGCTGTACATTTGGTCCCAGAATTTACTCATCTTTTAACTGAAAGTTGTATCTCCCCTTTGACCAATATTTCCCCCTGTACCCCATGTACAGCCCCGGGCAACCACCAATGTATGCAGCTTCTAGTTGGGACTAGAGCTCAGTTCTTTGCCCATGGATGATACAGCCCTAGAGTATTATCAAATCAATGTGGTAAGATATGACCAGCATTTTTTAATTGAGGTATAACTATTATATTACAGTTTCAGTTGTACATGATGATTGGATTTTTGTATATACTGCAAAATGATCACAATTACAGTTTAGTTAACATCCATCACTTTACAGTTATAAAAACTTAATTGTGATGAGAACACTTAAAATCAGCTCTCTGCAACTTTTATTTATAATGTAAATGACTTAATTTTTAAATTACAGTGAAAATACAATATTATGTTAGTTTCAGATGTACACCTCAGTAGTTAAGACATTATATAACTAAGTGATCATCTTGGTAAATCTCACAGCCATCTGACACCACACACAGGAATTAGAATATTACTGACTACTCCCTATGCCGTACTTTACACCTCCAACAACAATTTGTACTCCTTACTCCCTTCACCATTTTCACCCATCCACCCAACCCCCTCCTAGCTGGCAAAAGTCGAAATGTTCTCTGTATCTGAGTCTGTTTCTGTTCTGCTAGTTCATTTTGTTTTTTAGATTCAACTGTTGATAGACATTCTACTGTTCATTTTTTTTATCTTGTTCTTCTTAAAGATCCTTTAACATTTCATGTAATACTGGCTTGGTGGTGGTGAACTCCTTTCACTTTTTCTTGTCTGAGAAGCTCTTTATCTGTCCTTTGCTTCTAAATGGTAACTTTGCTAGATAAAGTAATCTTGCTTGTAGGTTCTTGCTTTCCATGACTATTCATTATTTCCTGCCAATCCCTTCTGGCCTGCAAAGTTCCTGTTCACAAATTAGCTGGTAGTCTTATGGGAACTCTTATAGATAAATAATTGCTTCCTCTTGCTGCCTTTAATACTTTTTTGTTTTTAACCTTTTGCATTTTTATTATGATATCTCTTTGTGTGGATTTCTTTGGGTTCATCCTGTTTGAGACTGACTCTGTGCTTCCTGGACTTGTACGTCTATTTACTTCACCAGGTTAGGTAAGTTTTCTGTCATTATTTTTTTCAAGCTAGGTTTTCAATTTCTTGCTCTCTCTTCTTCTGGCACACTCATGACTGCAAATGTTGGTGTGCTTGAAGTTGTCCCTAAAGCTTCTGGCACTATGTTCACTTCTTGGATTTTTTTTTTCTACTATTCTGATTGGGTGTTTTTTGCTTCCTTATACTCCAAATTGCTGATGTGATTCTTGGTCTCATATACTCTACTGTTGATTCCCTGTAAATTGTTCTTCATTTCAGTTAGTATATCCTTCATTTCAGACTGGTTCTTTTGTGTAGCTTCCATGTCCTTTCTTATGCTGCTGAAGTTCTAAGTTCATTGAGTGTCCTTACATCTGGTGTTTTGAACTCTGCGTCTAGTAGACTGCTTGTTTCCATTATGTTTATTTTTTTCTGGAGTTTTGTTCTGTTCTTTTATTTGGGACATGTTTCTTTCTCTTCATTTTGGCAGCCTCCCTGTGTTTTTTTTCCTACGTATTAAGTAAAGTTGCTAACGTCTTCCTGGGCTTGGTGGAGTGACCTGAGGTAGTGGGTGTTCTACCCACTACAGGGTCCAGTGGCACAGCCTCCCCCAGTCATCCAAGCTGGACACTCCAGGTGTCATCCATCCTCTACCTCATGTGGGCTGTATACTCTCTCCTATTGTAGTTCAGCCTCGATTGCTGTTGGCACATCAATGAGAAGGATTTACCCCCAGGCTAAATCAGCTTCAAGGACTGGCTGTGTTCACCGACCTCTGACCAGAGTGGAGTATCAGCTATGCAGGGGCCCACCCCATGGAGCAGGACTTATGTCAGCAGGGCTGTGGTACCCGTTGAGTCTGCCTTTTTAGCATGTTGATTGTGAAGGTGATTGAGGGTTGCTTTGGCGTGGTCTGAAGCTGTCCACCAGTGCTCTGGCTCTGAGGTCTCCTAGGAGATGCAGGCCAGGGTCACCTGGCATAAGCTACAAAACGATCTGCAGATGGCTGCTACTTGTGCTGGGGCTGGAGGTCCCTAGGTAAGGACAAGATGCAAATCAAGGCTGGCTGCTGCTAGTGCTATGCCTGGGGCCACTTAATGAGAAGTTTGGGCATGCTGAAGCCAGAATTTGCTTGAGAGATTTTAAATAATCTGAAACATGAGCCAAGACAGGCCAATCTTATGGAAAAGCCACTGGAATCAACTTGGGTGGACCAAAAGTTGGATGGTGGAGGGACTTAAGGGAATCACCGGGGTGGGCAAAACAACGTTAACCTAGTTAATGGAGACTCCCGTATGATGCCTGCCTGCTGGCTTTGTTGGGGGAGGACTCAAACAGAATGGTGTCTGCCAGCACTTTCTTCTGGCAGAAAGCTGCACATCTCCCCAAGTTCTTACCTGATACGTTTCAGTTCCTCCCTGTATGCCAATGGTGCCCTTGAAGCTGCTGCCCTAGCGCTGGAACTCAGAGGAAGTGAGTCCAAGTAAGTCCGTGTGGGGGCCCTTTAAGAGTAACTGCCTGGGACTCTAGAAGCCTTTTGTCTCACTTAGCTTCAATCCCCACTGGTTTTTAGAGTCAGAAGTTATAGGGACTTCTCTTCCTGGCACGGGGACCCTGGGCTGGAGGGACTGGTGTGGGGCTGGAACTCCTTGCTCCACAGGGGGCGACCTCCACAGCTGACCTCCTGATTTTTATTGGTCACACATGGGTGTGAGACCAGCCTGTTTGTATCTCTACTCCTCCTACTAGTCTCCAAGTGGCTTCTTTAATTCCCTAGTTATAGGGCTATCATTCAGCCAGATTTCAGGAGGTTCTACAGTTTAGTTGTAATTTTGATGTGGTTTTAGGAGTACATAAGTACATTTACCTACCCCACCATCTTGACCCTACGCCAGCAACTTTCGAATATACGATACAGTATCATTATTAACTACAGTTACCATGCTGAGCATTACATACCCAGGACTTTTTATGTTAGTGGAAGTTAGTACCTTTTGACCCTCTTCACCCATGACCAGCATTTTTATTTAAAAAATTAAGTAAAATAGAATATAGCATTAATTCCTTTTAGTAAAGTGTTTTTTTACCTATGTATCTGTTTCAGTTTTACACACAGATACATGTTTCCTAATGTGCTTTTTAATATGAGCTGCAGTAAAAAAAATACATGAGAAACACTATTAGGAAATGTTTAAAAATCATAAAGCAATTGTAAGAGTTTTAGAAAAATTATTTTTCTCACATCCACATTATATCAATCCTTTTAAAGATGTGCATAGAGAAACAACAACTTTCTTAAGTCCAATTCAAGTGTTTATTTCATGTATATAATTTTAAAATGTTCCTATGTGTATACTACTTAACTCAAAGACAACTCAATTAAGGAACTGGAGAAATTTTAAATATCACAGCTCAAAAAATGGGGGAAGGCAGGACTCGAGTGTGTGTTTGTTGGTGTTTTAAAGGAACTTTGTAATATCTACATAACTCGAATAAAAAGTTCTGTTCCTTTTTACAAAAAAAAGACTTTCCTACAAATTTTATTTTCAAAAAAATTCCTACATAACAAAATTTTTGTTTTTAGTAAACAGCCCCCAAATTATGTTACTTTGGCATACCTTGATAAATAATACCAACTTACATAAAATAAAATTAACTGGGGTGTTATTCAATTACTAAATTATTGTGCCAACATATTAAGGCTGAATTTAAATGAACTGAAAATATGGAGAATAATGCCAGTGTGAACATGTCTCGAGAAAATTAAACATACTTTCCTCCAATTTAGTTTATTATAATTTTACAAGGGCTATAATTTGGACTTGTACTCTTAATATTTTTTTAAAAAAGAGAAAGTCTTATAAAGTAAAAAGTATTGAAATATTTTCCAAGGTTGGCAGCAGAATCAGCTGAGTAAGAAAAGGTTTTTGAGGTCCCGGACTTTCATGACTGAAAAATCTCTCCATGTAGGGTCCAATAACCTGGGTTTCATAAAATCTTCCCAAGTGATTCTGGCATATAATATAGTTTGGGAACCAGCTGAAACACCATTTCATGGACCGAGTTTATTGCAAACAGAGAAGAGTAGAAATGGTTTAGTGATTTGAAAGTAAGCTTTATGTCTTTCAAGAAAACATTTTCAAGAAAAAAATTCTAGAAAAATTTTCAAGAAAAAATTTCTATCAGTGGCCCACCTCTTCACACCCACTGTGACATATGCAGAAAATCCAGAATGTCCCATGTCAAATGTTTTCATCCTAGTCATTTCAGTAATCACCTCTCTGAATCATCAGCATGGTCACGCTGATCAGTTATTTCTCTAAGGCTATCAAGCAACCCTGCACAGAAGATCAATTCTTTCCATGATATCGTAGGAAACAGGTATGGCAGACTCTAGCTCTCCCCACCACTCTGATGACAAGTGAACACTTCCTGTGGATCAAGTCTGCTCTTGATGTGGAAGTTTTACTGTGTTGCCTTTGGGTAGTCAAATCTTTTATAGCCCTTAAAACACTTTAGATAATGAGTTTTCCTCCACCAGAAACAATTCCAGTTTTTCTTCTACAACTTAAAATGTGACTCGTTTTTAATAAGTAGACCAATAACTGCCTAGTTCTATTAAGAAGAAATGTACAGTCTTATTTCTATGATCAAGTGGTATTTTTACCAGCTGAATCCACTTTGGAGTCAAATGTGGAGTCCTGATTGAATAATTTTTAACTTCTGTACAGCTACAGTCCTTGGAAATGAAATTAACACACTTCCTATCATCTCAACCTTCCCCCCTTCCACAAAGGATTTGAGAGAAATAACCTGATAGATGCATGTCGAAACTACAGGGTGGACTATTTTCAACAATTTAAAAAGAAAATATAAGTGGTATAAACAGTCCCTTAAATCAGTGCTGCTGAAAGTGTGTTTCTGGTCCCAGAAGCACTGGTGTCTCCTAGGAGCTTATAAGAAATATAGACTCACAGGCCTCATCCCAGACTCAGTGAACCAGAATCTGAGTTTTAACTAAATTCCAAGGTGATCTGTACAAGCATCAGCTTAAACGGTCTTCCAGAATCAGCTTTACTAGTGCCTGCTCCTCTGCGTCCTGGTATCATCTATGAAAAGATGACATGGAGCTCAAACACCAAACCTAAATGCCTCTGAACCAACTTGTAAGTCTTGTTACTACCATTACTTACTACCCTAATACTAGCATTGAGAAACCTATTTTGAAAGCCCAGGTCCTACCCTGGGGAGAGTCTGATTAGGGAGAGTGAGATTAAATTTGTGGTGGGGCCTAGGCAAAAAGATTTTTTACCCCCGCCCCCATGTACTTCTGATACGCATCCAGGTAAGAAACACAGGCACCAGGTATTTATTTTCTCTACACAGCTGCTATTCAATGCAAAGCTGTTACCAATCAAAGTACACCCCACCAAAATCAGTTTATAGTGGTTCCTTAAACTCTAGTGCACATTACAATCACTTGGCAGGCTTGCTCAAATATAGACTGCTGGGCTCCATCTCCAGAATTTCTGATTTAGTGAGCCCAAATCAGTAAGTGGGGCCCCAGATCAGATGCTCCTAGTTAGGGGACTGCACTTTGGGAGCCACAGATGGTCACACTTAACACGGAAAACTATTTCAGAAAAGAGCACTGAAGGCTTTGCTGGTTTCTTGTGTGACTGTTTAAAGATGAGCAAAGGCAGAGGACCACTTTGGATCTGAGTGTCTTTTCCAGGGCCAGTGCGTTAAGCACTTGACTTGAATGGGGGAAAGAACACGAAGATTTCACTCAGCACAGTCTTAGTGCCCAGCATTTCAGCATCCAGCAGTTGCTTAAGCCCCTGGTGCTTAGCGATGATCCCAATAAATCCACCTATCAGAACTAAAATACTGTATCTACGTAGCTTTGGTCATAATGCTTTTTACAAATAATATTCAGTTCAAGGAAATATTTCACTCACCAAACCCCACAGAGCACCAGGAGAGGTAGCAGTGATTGTAGCTGCTCTGGGTGTATTGTACATTAAGGCCAGTTCACCAAAACTCCCACGATTATCATAGTTACCAACACATCTTCCAACACCATCACATTTTACGTAAATATCAAATGTTCCTCTGTTGGACACAGGAAAAATTAAAGGTAAAAGTAATTCAGGTAAAATCTCATTACAATAAAACCTGGTTTGAGAGAAAAAGCCCTGTACAGTAAAACCTCATTCCATGCTTTCCTTTCCCTTCTGATGGCAATAAGCAATTAAAGGGCATTAAGATGCTCCAGAGACACCAGCTGATCCAGAAAAGCATGAAGAAACCATCAATTAGAATAGGGGGAGGACCAGACATGTGCCTGCTGGGGAAAAGAAGGCAAAACAATAAAAACTGGAGGTAATAAAATAAATGATAAAATATAACTAAGAGCAACCAAGCAGTTTACACATCGATAACCATCTGAAAGAATGTATATGAAAATGCTGACTGTAGGTATCTCTAAGCATAAGAATACTGAAGGAATCCAGGGACATGAACTACTCCTAATACAGAGTTTTTGTCTCTAAAATGAACATGTATTACTTTTGAGATCAGAAGAAAATTAAAAAATATATAACTAATATATATATAACTATTTCATATATATATTTTATATATATACATAAAAACAATTTGGTCAGCCATTACTATACAATACTTGTGAGGATCCTTTTTAATCCCAAGGAGGGGCCGGCCCACACACTGGCTGCGTTTTCATAAACAGTTTTACTAGAACACAAGCACACTGAGGTTTATTTGCACTACGTCTTGTCCGGGCCCTGCATGTACATGAACTACACTCTTCTAGTGGAGGACCGCCTTTCCACAGGCTGCAGATTATCAGGGCACATGGCTGCAAGGCTGCTGAAGCATCTGTGATGGCAGACAAGGGAAGTTCTTTGGTTTTACCTTACTGGCTAAACCCTAGCAAAGACAAAAAAGGGAATGTTTTTATTTAAAAAAAAAACGTTATGAATGGTAAAAGCAATACAAGCAAAGACATAATAGACAATAATATTAGTGAAGAGAATAACTGGCTTAATATAATTCACATATAGAATGACTATTTCAAGGATAACATCTAGAATTTTTTCTGAATAATTATTTTTTCAAGCATAGATTAATTCTTCTATTTTATATTTACACCTTTGCACTAAAACTAGTCTCTACATTTTCTACTTTGAGGTAAGGTAAAATATACAACAAATGTGCTGATGAGAAGTAAAATGAGTTCTAGTCCAGTTGAAATCACATAATCTGTTAAAATATTGTGTGCTGCTTTTTTATACGATCGCTGCCCTGATAAGGTGAGGGCTTGGGCAAGGACAGAATACAAATGGTGGCCAAGAGACCTGCCTGCAGGGCTGCCTCTGCACCAATCATCTGGGCAATCTTCACCCACTCACACCACTTCTGTGTGCCTGAGAGTTTTCACCTGTCAAATGGTAATCAGGAGGTACCTGAAAAGAATGTACTATATACAAATGCAGGGGAATTACTATGGTCAACATACCTACTAAAGGAAGATTAATCCTACATGGTATTTGGGGTTCTCATAGGCCCCTACAATTAAACAACAAACAGTTGAATGAATTTCTGAGGCACTTCACTGATGGAAGTGGTTAATGATACAAAAACCGTGACTGTAACATATGAGATAACTGTTTGTTGTGTTCTAAAATCAGAGTGCACCATGGCCCTGGATACTGCCTTGGCAACAGCTCTGTAGGGCACCAGGGTATTTGGGATGAGGGAATGGAGGAATCTGTGGAAACCCTTGATGCAGAAAGCACGCGCTGCTGATTTATGCAAGATACCACCCACAGAACCAAGATCAAGAAAGGAGGACTAAGCAGACAGATGGGGAGTAATTTTCCACAAGTCTTCTGAGTTGAACACGGCTCTACCCACAGAAGCAAATGTAATCCAATAAATTAGGGCAGGGATACCAACTGTCTCATAAATACTTCAACATCGCTTTACAACGTGAATAAATACTCAGTTCAGACTGCTCCCCTATCACAATTTTGGGACTCTCAATTACTGGTAAATGCATCCTTAATGCACAAAGTCTTAAAAAGTACAACTTGAAGCTTTCTAAAATTAGATTTTTTAATGCAGATGCATGCTGTCTTAATAAAATAATTTATAGAGTTTTTAAAGGGCAAAATAATGCATAAGCAACTTCTAGAAGGACTAGAAGTACTACTAGACCGACTACATGATGCTGAAGAAGTGGGGATGAGACTTTCTGCCTTATGTCCCCTTTGACTTTTTAAACCATGAGCACATTTTACTTTATAGCTAATAAAAAACGTAACAGATTGAGTTTACTGTGATTCAGTATCTCAGGTGCTGTATTATGCTTCTGATTCTCACTGTAATAGGCAACAATTACATCCTAACTACCTGTCAAACAGAAGTTAACAAATGGCCCTGGCTGGTGTGGCTCAGTGGTTGAGTGTCAGCCTGCAAAACAGAAGTTAACAAATGGGGAGGCTCACAGTAAGCAACTGCGATGTATAAATTGAAATAAACAAAAATCATCAGTTCTTTTATAAACTATGCCTCTTTTCATGATCCAATATGAATTCCCTGCATGTATTCACAGCAGGTTTAGTGCCTATTATGTAGTAATAAGAGTAAAGAGGCAATAGCAACTATATATTAAATTGCTATCATTATAACCATTGAGATTGTACCCAAAAGGTTTGTTACATTTTAGTAGTGAAGCTATGCAAAACTTACCTATCAATTACGTAAAAGTTGTCACCATCGTCACCTTGATCAATTACATGTTCCCCTTCTTTGACTAATTTTTCAAACATGGCATCTAATACTTGAGACATCTGCTCCTATTTTTTAAAAAGAAAAGATATAATCTATATGTTTATCTAGAACATGTTTTCTTAAGTAACCATAATTAGCTTTATATTTCTGTGAGCAAGTGCAAATAAATAGAATATCATCATGCTATTAAGTCCTATCAAAAAAATACACAGCAGTCTTTCTGGCCATATACAAATGAGATGATTATATATTTACTCTCATATACAGGATCTAAATGGAATTCTAATTAGTCTGTTTCAGAATATTTGCAATTAGCACCTCTTTAACATGGAAAAATTAGCCACCAAACCACATATACCTTGTGAAATATAATCATAACTAAAATGACCAGGTTAAGTAAAGAACTACTGCAAATATCTTTTTAAAAATCTGTTTTTAAAACTTCCCTATATTAGTCATCACTAGAATTTATATGAAGATTACTTAAATACTTGGTGAATTTAAATCCTGACTCTGATCCTTTTTGGTTTAGCACACACACACACAAAAGGCAAAATAAAAAATGACTGCAGCAAATACTGTATCACTGTTTTTTCTCATTAAGGTTCTTTTCAAGAAACAACCATTTACCTCTGGAGAGGTTTATTAAAGCTGAAGCCAGAAACATAAAATCTAATATTCAGAAACTACTTAAAATAAACATTTTATTCTGCTAACATGTAGTTTAACAAGGCTTACAAAGAAACGTCAGCCAGTGAGAATAAACTAGGAAGTAAAAGAAATCCACACACAATTCAAAGGGCTTCGAATACACAAAACAAAGGACATAGAAAAATAGCACGATGCACAGTAATAAAAAAGTCAAAAGATTTAAGAGGGTTATTTGCTCTGACACTTACTGGCTCTTAATATTTTATCAAGTTATTTTCAATGGGTATTAAAAGGGTACAATCCTAATTTGCCCATGCCAAAATACATTAGTATTATAAGTTAAGGAGCTGAAGATAGATTGGGGGGGGGGGGTTTGGGGGAAGATATAAGCAGAGAACACTGGTTAAATAACAAGATGCTCTGTCCCTGTCGGTATGGCTTAGTTGATTTGATGTCATTCCACAAAACCAAAAGAAAGGGGTGGTTCTATCCTGGTTGGGCATATGCCTGGGTTTGGTTTCAGGTTCGGTCCCAGCTGGGAGTCAGGGTGCTTATGGAAGGCAACCAATAGATGAAACATCAGTCTCTCTCACACTGATGTTTCTCTCCCTCCCTCTCTCTCCCTTCCTCCTCTCTAAAATCGAAATTAATTTTTTAAAAAAGATGCTCTGAATTAAAAGCAAGAACAGACCACACACCACTCTTTCTGAACATTTCACAGGAATATAAGGTATGAACACACACAATACAGAGTATGGGAAGGAGAAATGGATGGCTGACATTTCTAGAGCACAGGCAGTTACCAGATTTTACCGTGTATAATCCACACACACCGTTTTGTATTCATTATACATGGGATTAGGCCCATTATACCCATGGTATGTATTCCTTATACCCATGTATAATGCACATGATTATTTTTCCCTCAAACATTTGGGCAAAAAGTGTGCATTCTACATGACAAATACAGTAAATGGAAGGTGTCCAACACGATCAAAGACTGAAAGACCCACCCCAACATGACTTGTCAACTTCTGTAAAGCTTCCAGCAAAAAGAGGGAAGGAACTCTTAAAAACACGAAAGGATGTTCCACTTCTTTCAAAGAAATAAAAAGAAATGCAAATTAAAACTGAAATGAGATACTTCTTTTCACCTGTCAGACTCAAAAAAATAAAAACATTCAGAATTGAGTGTTGGAGATGATGTGGAAAAGAGGTCCCCTCACACAGACTGCTAAGGGGAAGGGGAAGTGAGAGAAACTAGAGAATAATCTCTCCATATCTGATAAAGTTCCAAATACACGTACCTTTCACCTCATCATTCTTTTTCTAGAAAGATATTATATAGATATCTGCGAAATGACACAGGCATAGGCATTTTTCATTGCAGCATCATACAGCAAAAGAAATGGAAACAAACTAACGTTTACCTACAGGACCCTGGATAAGTAAATCTGGTGTATCTATACATTGGGAAGCTATGCAGCTGTAAGAAAGAATGTGATATTTAAGACATCTATCTTTCCTTGGAGTAACTGAGAACACTCAAGGGTAATCGGGAAATTGGAAAACCTGCCACAGGGGGAACAGTTCAAGGAACCGGGGGCGTTTAGGCGAGAGAACAGAAGACCTGCATGTGAACAAATCAGCTATCTTCCGTCACACTGACGATGTCAGTGATTCTAGAGGCCACAACCAGGACTTCCAGGTCAAAGTGTCATGGAGACTGTGGCATAATGTAAAGACTTGTCCGAGACTGGGAGCTGTCTATCAGTGGAGACTGGGAGCTGTCAATCAGTGGCACGGGATCCCTTGCACAGAGATCAGCTCCCTGTCACTCAACGGAATGTTCAGGGCTGGCTTTCCATCTTCCACAAGCTATGAAAGGGCCCAGCGTTTCTCAAATTGTGCTTGGTGGAACCCATGGCTTTTCTGGAGGTGCTCCGGAGACTAATTCTGTGAATAGTTAATTTAATTGCATCCTTAAAGTGTATTTTAGCCATTAAATGCTATAACGGAAATCAAAATGCTCAGCTGGATTAAATATACAAAATTATTACAAGGTGAAATTTTATACAACATAAAATGAAAAGCCATTTAAAAGTGAACAATTCAGTGGCCACAAAGTTGTACAACCATCACACCTACCTAGTTTTAAAACAGTTTTCGTTGCTCTAAAAGGAAAGCCTCTACCCATTAAGCAGTCATTTGCCATCCTCCACCCCCCCACCCCCTGGCAACACTAATCCATTTTCTGTTTCTATGGAGTTACCCATTCTGGATGTTTCATATAATAGGGTCATATAATATGTGGGTTTTTGTGTCTGGCTTATTTCACTGAGCATAAAGTTTTTGAGGTTCATCCCTTTTACAGCATTACTTCATTTGTTTTTAGAGATAAATACTATTCATTCCAAATTTTGCTTATCCATTCATCTGCCGATGAATACTTCGGTTCACAGTGAATAATGTGGCTATAAACGTTCATATACAAGTATTTGTTTGAAAACTGTGTTTCAGTTCTTTTGGATCTATACCTAGGAGTAGCAGAATTTGCTGAGTTACGTGTTTAACTTTGAAGAAACCACCAAGCTGTTTTCCACAGTGCCCGAACCATTTTACTTTCCCACCAGAAATGTATTAAGGTTCTAATTTTCCCATGCCCTCACCAACACTTATTTTCCTCTTTTTTTTTAAGTTATAGCCACCCCACTGCAGGTGAAGTGGATTTTTTTAATCACTACAAAAGGATATGTTTATTGATTTGAGACAGAGAAAGAGAAACATCAATCAGCTGCCTCCAGTACATGTCTGACCAGAGATCCAACCCACACCTAGGTGCGTGCCCTGACTGGAAATCGAACCTGCAACCTTTCTGATGTACAGACAACACTCCCACCAACTGAGCCACCCAGCCAGGGTACAGGTGAAGTGGTTTTGATGCATTTCCCTAATGACTAACCATGTTGAAAAGTTTTTCATGTGCTCATTGATTATTTGTGTATCTTCTTTGGAGAAATGTCCATCTTTTCCATTTGTAAAGTATCTTTTCCCAGTACTTTGCCCATTTTTAAGTTGGGTCATTTGTCTTTTTGTTGCTGAACAGTAAGAGCTCTTTACATATTCTGGATACTAGGCCCTTACCATACATATGATTTATAATATTATCTCCCATTCTGTAAGTTATCTTTTCATTTTTCTGATGATATCCTTTAATGCACAATTTTTTATATTTCCTTTTTTTATGGAGTCCAATTACAACATTACCCCTGTTCTCATTGTTAATTTCCTTCAAAACTCGTGACAAGTGTCGAAACCAACAAATATTGAACGATGAAGCATTTTCTCTTGCAGGACGGCACTGACTCATACAAGCTCTAGCAACTACCACGAGTCCTGAGCAAGTGCCAAGTGTGGAAACATTTTTTTCTCATCAAAATGTGATGAGTACAGGGTTTGGCAAGCTCTGAAGCCAACAAGTACCAAGGTACTGTAATCTTTTTTCTTTTCTTATTTTTGTTTTTAGCATCTAAGAATCCACTGCTAAATCCAAGGTCAAGAATACCTCTCTGTTCTTTTCTAAAAGAACTACAATACGAAGTTTTAGAGTTTACGGTTAGGTCTTTGATCCACTTTGAGTTAATTTCTATATATGGTATGAAGTAGGAGACCACTTCTACTTCATACCATGAAGTAATGTGTGGATATCTGGTTGTCCTAGCACCATTTGTTGAAGTGACTATTCTTTCCCATTGAATGGCCTTAGGATTCTTGTTGAAATCAAACAGCCACAGATGCACAGGTTTATTTCTAGACTCCACTATATCCCATGTTTTGATTACTGTAGCTATGTAGTAACAGTTTTGAAACTGGCCAGTGTGAGTCTTCCAACTTGCTCTTCTTTTCTGATATTACTTTGCTATTGAGGCCCCCCTACTATATATACAATTTTAAATCATACATTAGACAGCAACAAAATGTTAATGTTTTCACGATTAAGCTTTATAGCATATTACCTTTAACCTTTACAAATAAATTAATAGTAACAAAATAATTTTTTAAAAGATTATAGAATCTCTACGAGTACAGACATGGTATTAAGTAAAAAAAGAACTAGGCACAATACTATGTAGAATTTGCTGCCAATATTTTTAAAAGGTTATACTTGTATATACATAGCATAATTCTGGAAAAATACACGTGACAATGCTAAAAGAACTTGGCTCCTGAAAAACTGGGGTGCTGGGAGACAGAAATGAAAGGGAGACTTCCTTTCACTGAATACTCTTCTGTTGGTTAAGAATTTTACTCTTTTGTTCTTTTTGAATTTTTGTAAATTGTACATGTATACTGATTTACCATTTTTAATTAATTAAAAAACCAAACTCTCCATTTACACAGAGAACATAATATTGCATCTTCATGTGAGTTAAGAAGACTTTTGGGAGAACAATGGTGATGGGTTCATAGGGAGTGGTTTTCACCCCTGCCCTGGGTCTCTGTGTGAGCCCTGGCACCTCTTTGTGAAACAGCAGCCAGGCCTAAAGATGATGCCAATGTGGCAGCAAAACAGTGCTTTCTTGGCATGGTGCTAATTGACCCCACAGGGGCCATTTTACCTAGATGAGTTCATGAACCAGGCAACATATGGTCATTATTAAAATTATGACATTGGGTTAAACGGCTTACTAATACTTTGTTTTGCTTACTGTTTATATTTCAACTCTTTTAGGTCAAATGGAGGGGGAATATCAGCTTTACTGATTAGTTCTAGCTGTAAATGTCAAATGAAGAAAAAGATGAAAAACAGTGCTATAGTACGTATTTTTGCTATCCTTGAATTAGCTGCATTTAAAAATATTATAAAGCTTAAGAATTCATACATGGATATATTAAAAAGTAATTCCTGATAAAATACAGAACAATTATTTCTTCTAGAACTTCTCTATGTGACAGGTGTCTGTTCTAGTCAATCAAAATGTAATTTCCCCATAATTATACACAGAGTGAGAAGAACTTAGGAAATATTCAACATGCAGGGCCTTATCAAAATAACTGACAACCTCTATAGGAAATCCCTGTCTTATTCTCCTTACAGAATGCAGTTAGGAGACTAAGCTCAGTAAAAGGGCCCTGACTCACTTAAAAAGAACAATTTACTCTTCATTAATGAAAGAGCCTAGCTTAGGAAAATTATTTCAGTTTGCCTCATATTAGAAATACTTCTGAAGAAAAATGGCCTACTGAGCTGAGCATTAAAATATTCATGAAAAGATTATCTTCAAAGAGATTAATAATTATAAATGCTGCGTTCAATGTATGAATATATAACACTCCAGGGAAGAATGCTGTGAGGCCTAGGAGGTGCAAGGTTTTCAAGATAAACAATGACTTTAAGAAATTCAAATGAGATAGCAGATGCAAAGCCAAGATTCTTCTTCTTGTCAGTCAGTAATTACTGCTTCCTTTTCCTCTGTCAAGTTTTCCCATTTCAGGAAAACGTACCACCTCACCGTCATTCTGGCTAGACACAGGGGATCATCCTAGACTCTTTCTGCTGGGTTCCAATTCATTCAACCACCAAGTACCAACCTCTGCTAATCCTGAGTATTTTGTGAAGCCATCCCCTCCTCCCTGTCCCTAGTTGGGCCCATTTCTTTTCCCTGGATCACAGATGGCACTGTTTCCTCACTGAGCTCCATTCCTCTGTGCTTGCTCTGTCACTCTCCCTCTGGTCTTTAACTCGACCCTCTACACTGCCACCACAATACAGTTACTATTATCAGCTGGTGAGAAAGGCAATTCACCAAGGGCCCTGCACATGCCTGCATGTTCCAGAGGGGTGTACAGATAATGCAAGGTCTGAACTTCTCTTCAGCTGGGCCATTTCTCAGGGCTGTTTGTAGCTAGTAACTTTGAGGGATGAGATAATGTCTTCCTCCAGACAAACAGCAGGCCTGCTTACTCCTCCTTCTAACAGCAGTGACCTCCCAAGCCCAGGACAAACATTCCTCCCCTATAATACAACCCACTGTATACGCGGGCACCCACAACAGGGCCATTACACAACAGGGTGACGTTAGCTAGTAAAGAGAATGAATCCCAAGGTTCACACTACTACTGCAGAAACCATTTCTATCACTGAGATTTCTTACCGGATCCAGGTTCTTAAACAGCAAGATGTCTTTGCAAGCCTCTTGCAATCGATTCCTTTGATCATCCGTTTTTGGATGTATAATCTAAAACACGAAATAAACCAACAAATAATTAGTCTATTCTTATTTATAAGGGATAAAATTTCCTAGTAGGATGTTAGAAGGAAGAACTGAGAGTGCAGAGGTTGCTTTAGGCAATTAGATACCTATCAGGCCACTAAGTGGGAGAAAATAATACAATTTGTCTCAGGGAGTGGGTGGACATTGATTAATACAGCACTTCAATGTTTTTCTTTTCTTTTTTAGTTTTTCAATTATACTTGCCATTCAATATTATATTATATCAGTTTCAGGTATACAACAAAGTGGTAAGACACTGTACAATTTATGAAGTAATTTCCCCCGTAAGTCTATAAAAATACTATATATAGTACCTGCATGGCACCATACATAGTTATTACAATGTTATTGACTTTATTCTCTGTATTGTATTTTAGGTCTCCCTGATATTTTGTAACTACCAATTTGTACTTCTTACTCCCTTCTTCTTTCCCACCCAGCCCTGCAACCCCTGGCTTTATCTGGCAACTACTGGTTGATTCTGTTATCTCTGAGTCTTTGCCTATTTTATTTATTCATTTACTTTGTTCTTAAGATTCTCCATTTAAGTGAAATCATGTGGTACTTGTCTTTCTCTATCTGACTTATTTCATTTAAGCATAATACCCTCTAGGTCCTCCCATGTTGTTGCAAATGGTAAGACTTCATTCCTTTTTATGGCCAAGTAATATTTCATTGTATATACAGGGTGGGAGAAAAGTAGGTTTATAGTTGTTGGTATGGAAAAAATACAATATTTAATAAATAATATAAGAATGAACTCTTGTGTTTCACATACTCACTGTAAACCTAGCTCTCCCCACACTGTGCATACCACATATTCTTTATCCAATACTGACAGACACTTAGGTTGCTTCCATATCTTAGCTATTTTAAAAAATGTTACAGTGAACACAGGGCTGCATGTATCTTTTCAAATTAAGTGTTCTGGATAGCACTTTAACGTTTTTGAAAGGAATGTTTCCCCCAGGTTAGCAAGTTACACTTCGTAAAGGTTTGTGATGGTCTAATCACTAAAGACACCCAAGCTCCCAGCTAGTGGGAACACAGAACAGGATGACAGGTGATAACAGATGTACTGAAACTCAACAGACTGCCTTTATTCTGTTTAATACTCTCTCAATATTCTTACTCAGAATGTAATAGTCTCTAGAATCAAGTAAATTCTTACATGTACAGTGCAGTAGATGTTAAATACATTTTTATGTATCGTGTATGTAAATACCTTCTCAGGGAGCAACTTTTCACAGGGAGGGAGCGACTGTGCCATGCCACACCAAGAATGTGGATTTGAAAACAAATGAATCCAGCAGTCCTGGTGTGCTCACTTTAGAATGAGCTCAAAGAAAACCAGCATCCTATATTCTTACCAAACCTTCCATTCCGGTGAGGTAAAGAACAAACAGAATGCTCTGGGTAAGTGTGGCCTGCCAACTCTCCAGAGTCCCTTTAAATTAGAGAAGGCAAAACTGTCTTGGACCAAATGGCCTATTTTTTCACGAACACTGTAGTGTGTAACTTTTATAAAATGAGTTAGGCAAGCAAAAGACAATCCTAAAAGCAGCAAGCAACAAGCTGGTCTCCCAGAAACCTATAAACCATCTTTTCCTATTCTGATGTTCACTCTAAGAGTGACTGTGGGAGATAATAAGCTGGTACCTCTCCTCTTCAGCCAGCCAGCCCCACCCCCAGAGCATCGAAAATCCAGCAGTGGTAAGTTCTCTGCCCATGAATATATCAGAACTTAAAATGGGAAATGAAAATCAGTATTTCAGACACACCTCAGATGGCCAAATATTAATGAAAATCATAGGTCCAATAAGAATCAAGGAAATTTACAATACAAATTTACAATGTATACTACTTATGTGTGTACTGTTTATATACTACTCAAAAGACTATCGCCTTCCTATAAGGGTGAGTAAGATATGCAAACCCTTGTTCACGGATCAATACTCATCTCAAACTAGATTCTATGGTGACACATGAACACAGAAAAAGCAGATTTGGTGACTACTAACTCATTGTGTATAAGACACTTGCAAAATGTGGGTATTAACTAAATCATGCCAACCAAAATTTACTTCTTCCTACTTTAGGCAGGGAAGGCTAACTGCACAAAACAAAAAGTTACTTCTCACTTGATGAAATTCATCAAGAACTTCAAGCTAAAGCATTCCTAAATGTTTACCTGCTGAGAAGCTCTGTCCTCAGAGAGAAACAGTTGGGGATAGCAGGTCACCATTGTTGAAATAACATTCTACGTCCAAGTTGGAGTTGCTCCCACCTGGGGTGCCATACTGGCAAACCAAAACTTTGGTAACTTTTGGGTACCTCCCTGGAAATGCTCTGCTTCACCAGAAACATGATATATCCAGTCAGCCAATCCCCAAGTTAAGCCAACTCTGGTCTCTATACTAATTCCATTGTTTCTTATTCATTTTCTTCCCACCCTCCCCAACCCTGGTGCTGGGAATCTCTACAGGAGGGAGAGAAATGAGAGTTCCTTTAAGATCTTTGGGTCATATAAGGCTCCTCATCTTGTTACTATTGGATTTTCCATATATTTCAGGGAGCTTAATGATGCAATGACTTAGGGATGCAATATCTGGTTTTCCATTAAAACTCGGTTTTACAGAATTATTTTTGAGAGCTACAGAAGTAGACTTGTGTTTATATTTTTAAAGGCCAAATAGAAAAGGGGGACTTTTGTAAAATATGTACTTGGAAAAAGGGTATTATTGCTTCCATTTCCAAGCACAGTAACCTCTTTGTTTAGTTTACTTTTTACTAAATAAATAACAGGAGATTGGAGCTAAAGAACACAGCTTAAAAATCTGCTTCAAACTAAACCAAACAAATTTTTACAAAAACATTAGGAACTCTAAGAAAACAGTTTCTGAGCAAACTATTAAGACTCATAAAAAAATATCAACTGCTGTACTGACACGTTAGATGTCATTTTACCAGGATTTTGTTTGTTTGTTTCAGAGTAAGCTTCTGTTACCACAAATCAGTAGGAGCAGCAGGCTCTTCCCAGTATTTTTCTTTACTAGAAATACTAAGAAAAATAAAGTATTGCTATGAGAAAGCTGTATTTTTGCAAAAGAAATAAAACCACAACTCCAGTGAAGTCTTATATTTACCTTTCCTTTAGCCAAAGAGAGAGACTGGATAAAAGTAATTCTACAGAACTTGAAGAACAAGTAAACTATCAGAGATAAAACTAGGGAAAGAAATAGTCAAAATAATTCCATTAAACTATGTGCATGTTAACACCTTTTCTATTATTACTTTCCTTACCCGATAAAGGAGTAACTTAAAATTACTTTATTTAGTAAATTACATACCCGGGACTCTGCATCATCTTCTTCTTCATCAGGATTATAAGCTTCTGCACAAACTATAAAAAAAATGAACATTTTAAAGATTCTTTCATCAAGAAACATACTATAATAAATATATCTTTAAAAAATTAATAAACAAAAATACTATTGTGTAAAAACCATTAATTCACCTCATCCAGGACAAGCAGTCCACCCCCAAACCAATCTCCTCTTGCAGTACATATGGAATTTATTAATATACAGAGCTGCACTTTAAGACACTGACAACTGCTGTTTGCTTCCTCTTATTCAGAGAAACATAATGGTTAAGCCATGAAGTTGGCTTAACCTCTGCCAACTTCATTTCCAAGCTATAGAAATGTATAAGATCTAAAAGTTACCTAAAAGAACAGACAGCAAAAAAAAGTTTAAGTCTGCTATGAAATGATCAATTTAATTATATAATCAGGAGTAACTTTCATAAATTATGTATAACCCAATCTTCTAGGAACAAGTACTTCTATTAATATTTTGCATATTCCTATCCAGTCTTTATTTTTTGAATTGCGTTCATATTATATATGCAATTTTAAAAACTCCTTTTTTCATTTAACACTGTAAGAACTTTACATGCTATCAGAAACAGTTTTGTAAATAATGTTTTAAGGACTGCTGATTACTTATCTTAAGCTATAATTAACCACTCCCCTACCTAATGCTAGACACTTAGCCTGGCTTCTATTAAAACCACCTTTCAATAAACATCTTCATGCAGAAATATTTCTCTATACTCCAAATTACACTGTAAGAAATTATTCTCAAATGTTATTTTTGGGGGGTAGGTTAAAAGATACAGTTTTTAAGACACACCGCCCAAAGAGAGTGTTCCCATCTACTGTCCTATAGAGAATGTGTGAGACAACTCCTGTAAACTGTACAACAGGGTTGGATGTTAATGCTTTTCAAATCTTTGACAATTTAGATGAAAAAGGGATTTAAAACTTTCAAGGTTATTGCTGACCTCAAACAAGTGTCAAATGTCTATAAGCTGACTATATTTCCTCCTTTATCCTTATGTAAAAAGAATTTATGTATGTATTTGGTTTTCTTTTTGATTTATACCAATTTCTTAATACTGCTGTGTCATATTTCTCAGTCCTCCCATTTGCTTTTTAACTATAATTACAAAGATGTTATAGATATGCATATTTATATACTTTTAATGTAGTGATACCAAGGGAGAAAATCCCCCAATATGATTTACATTAAAATGTTAAACACCACAAAACTGATACCACTGGTTCTGAGCTTGGAAATCCCTTAATTTGCAAGTCTGTTACTTTAAAGGGGAAGTAAAGATCTGTTACTTCTCCTTTCAGTTTTTTAAAATTATTTATTGTTGTTCAGTTACAGTTGTCTGTATTTTCTCCCCACCGCTCCCCTCCACCCCATCCAAACCCACCTCCCTCCCCTGCTTCCACGCTCCTTCTTGGTTTTGCCCATGTATCCTTTATAGTAGTTCCTGAAACCCTTCTCCCCCCTGTCCCCAATCCCCACAATCTATAGATTCAATGCAATCCCTATTAAAGTACCCATGACATATTTCAAAGATACAGAACAAACATTTCAGAAATTTATATGGAACCATAAATGACCCCAAATAGCTGTAGCAATTTTGAGAAAGAAGAACAAAGCAGGAGGGATCACAATACCTGATACCAAACTGTATTACAAAGCCACTGTAATCAAAACAGCCTGGTACTGGCATAAAAACAGGCACATAGACCAATGGAATAGAACAGAGGGCCCAGAAATAAACAAGTCTCTACAGTCCTTTCCTTTTTCTTTAAGGCAGACCTTTTTATTAATACATTACCCTCTAGCCCATATGAACTTAATTCTGCCACAGGTATAGAAATTTAAAGAACAGAGGATAGATAAAAGGCTGAAAGAATGTCTTTCCAAGGACCTCTGATAGAATCAAGAATGTATCATCATTAAGAATAGTATCAAGAACAGGCAGCATGGTACAGTGGGCAAGAGCCTGGACTCCAGAGAAGAATATTATCAGAGGACTTCCAGTCAAGATGGAGGAATAGGTAAACACAGTTCTCGCCTCCTCCCACAGCCACATCAAAATTACAACCAAACTACAAAAACCCCACAATCCAAAACTGCCAGAAATCAAGCTGAGTGCAAGTCCTTCAACTAAGGAATTAAAGAAGAAACCACAATGAGAGGAGGAGTAGGGATACTGAATGAGACAGTCCCACACCAGACTGTGGCAGATAAAAATCAGGAGGGATAGCTCCCCTGTGGAGTTCCCCCCTATGGAGCAAGGGGTCCCTGCCCATAGCACAGGTTCCAGTGCCGGGAAGAGAAGTCCCCATAACTTCTGGCTCTAAAAACCAGCAGCAATTGAGGCTGAGGAAGACAGAAACTTCTGGAGTCCCAGGCAGTTCCTCTTAATGTGCCCCCAAATGAACTTACTTGGACTCACCCTCTCTGAGCCCCAGCACTGGGCAGTAGCTTGAAAGGCACCAGAGACATACAGGGAGGAACTGAATTGTCTGGCATCAGGGTGAGGGCTAGAGGGGCAGCTTTGTTCTAGACAGAGGTGCTGCCAGAGGCCATTGTTACTTTGCTGAACCCTCCCCGCACAGAACCAGCAGGTGGGGTGCCATATCTGAGATTCATTCAACCTAGTTCACTGTTTGCCCCACCCTGGGGGTTTCCAGAAGCCACCCCCCCACCCCGCCGCCAACCTATTTCCAGTGACTTTTTCATACAAATGGCTTGTCTTGGCTCATGATTCAGATTTTCCTAAATTTTCTCAAACATATCATCTGGCCTCAGCAAAGCCCCATACTTCTGCTCTAAGTAGCCCCTGGCCTGGCACAAGCAGCAACAGGCCTTGGTTTACGACTTGGCTTTGCCTGGGCACCTTTAAGCCCAGCACAAATAGCAGCCATCTGTAGATCACTCTGTAGCTTATGCAGGGTGGCCCCACACAAGACACAAGTGATGGCTTACATTAGCCTGCACCTCTGAGGTCAGTTTCAGGCCACAGTGAAGCACCATCACTCAACCACCTCCACAAGTGACACACTCAAGAGGAGGACGTAGCCAGCACCAGAGCCCTGCTGAAGGAAGTCCTGCTCTGCAGAGTGGGTCCCTGCACAGCTGGTCCTTTGAGGTGGTTGGAGGTGGGTGGTCAGTGGTCACAGCCAGAGGCTGCAGCTGATCAGTCTGGGTAAAACCCTACTACCACTGACATGGCAACAGCAATCAAGACTCAGTTACAAGATACGGGTATACAGAACACATGAGGGTGCACCTCGACTGTCCAGCTTGGAAGATAGAGGAGAGACTATGCCACTGGATCCTACTGGACACCTACTACATTAGGCCAATCTGCCAAGCCTAGGAGACATGGCAGCCCTACCTAATATACAGAAACAAACACAAGGAATCTGCCTAAGTGCGGAGACAAAGAAACATTGCGCAAATGAAAGAACAGAACAAACTCCAGAAAAAGAGCTAAACAAATGCAAACAAGTAATCTATCAGATGCAGAGTTCAAAGCACTGGATATAAGGATGCTCAATGAACTTAGTGAGGACCTCAACAGCATAAAAAAGAGCCAGACAGAAATAAAGAATACACTAAGTGAAATAAAGAATAATTTATAGGGAATCAACAATAGAGTAGATGAAGCCATGCTATCCAAAAATAAGCAATTTGGAATACGAGTATAAGGAAGCAAAAAATATCCAATCAGAAGAGCAAAAAGAAAACAATCCAAAAAATGAGGTTAGTTTAAGGAGTCTCAGGGACAACTTCAAGCATACCAACATTTGGATCATGGGGGTGCTGGGAAAAAAGAGCAAGAAATTGAAAATCTATTTGAAAACATAGTGACAGAAAACTTCCCTACTTTGATGAGGGAAATAGACATCCAAGTTCAGGATTCACAGAGACTCCCAAACAAGATGAACCCAAAGAGGCACATACCAAGATACATCATAATTAAAATGCAAAAGGCTAAAGTCAAAGAGAGAGTCTTAAAAGTAGTAAGAGAAAAGCAGTAAGTTACCTACAAGGGAGCTCCCAAAACACTGTCAACTGATTTCTATAAAAAAACTTTACAGGCCAGAAGGGAGTGTCAAGAAATATTTAAAGTGATGAAAACCAAGAATTTACAACCAAGATTACTCTACCTAGCAAAGCTATCATTTAGTATTGAAGGGCAGATAAAGTTTCCCAGACAAGAAAAAGCTAAAGGAGTTCATCACCACTAATAATACTGTTCATCAAAACAGTATTGTTAGACTTCCACCAAGATGGAGACATAAGTGGAGACGCCGTGCTTTCTCCCACAACCAAATTGAGAGACAACAAAATATTAGCAACAGAAAACACAGCCAGAACACAGAAAATTGAACTTTTCGGAAGTCTGATAACAACAAATTCTTCAGCCTGACCAGTAAGAGGGCCGAAGCCAGCAGCTGGCGGAGCGGGGTTGATCCCAAGCATGGGGTTGCAAAGGGCGGACCCAGTGAGCGACCTAGTGAGTGACCCAGTGAGTGACCAGCAGACCCAGCAAGGGTGCAGGATGGCAGGTTGACTGTGGTCCCGCATTCGTGCGCAGATAGACCAGCGAGGGAGTGGGCAGTGAGACGATGGGACCAAGCAGGCCCCAGCAGCGAGAGGCAGCAGAGGGGGCCGCCATTTCCCCACTCTGACCTCACCTCCACATACAGCGTCACAACCCAGCGACCTGGGTGGCCCGCCCTGGTAAACACCTAAGGCTCTGCTCCTCGTAATTAACAGGCGCCAGCAGACCAAAAATGGCCCAAGAAGATCTCCAAGCCCCAGAGCCCATAAATCTAAGTGATGAAGAAATAGCAAAACTTTCAGATGCACAGTTCAAAACACTGGTGATCAGAATGCTCACAGAACTGGTTGATTTTAGTTACAAATTAGAGGAAAATATGAAGGCTACACTAAGTGAAATGAATGGAAATGCACAGGGAACCAATAGTGATGGAAAAAAAACTGGAGTCTTCTCCAAATC